TAATTTGACACTCTTTTTGGGAGAGATGTAAGTAATTTTGGTTGTGTTTGACCCTCCAAATAGATGAACTAAGATTAATCTAAGGAGTTACAAGAGTGTAGTTTCTTTGGTTGAAAATATTTCCTTTTTGTGTAGATTTTGATGAAGTTGGAAATTCAAGGCTATAGCTCCAAAGCCAACGCTGCAGCCATGAAGCCTAAACCAAAATGAAGTGTTCCAGAGAGTTAAGGCTATAGCTCCAGATTCAAAGCTGCAGCCACGAAGCCTGAACCAATTCCAGAGACTTGAAGCTTCAGCCATGAAAACCAGAGCCCCAGCCTTGGAACATTGGGCAGTCCAAAAATTCAGAGCTACAACCCCCATTCCAGAGCTACAGCCTTGGGTTAAAAATCCCAACTTTCCCTTGGACAGGACGTATTTTAGGGCACGAAAGGGAGGAAAAAGGGGGACCGAACAGAAATACTTATATCAGTTGTGATTAATATGTACATTAAATATTGCGAGTGAAATTACAATCAGAACATTAGATGAGTCACTTGTGTATCTATAAATACTCTTTGTACATGTGTCATTAAAACCAAATGAATACGTGCGAAAATTGCATTCCCAATTTTTTTATTTGCATATTAGAAGAGAGCTCTATACAATTAACAAATTTGGAAAAGGATATTATTACAGTTTTGACTTTTAAACCTTGCTTTGACAATGATCACCCTTCAGTATCTACAGAAAGTAATTGCATGTTTTTCTGACTAGTGACTACAGTTTTTCTTTGGAATAGTGATGCTGGTGAATGGTTATTAAGTTATAAGAACTTGCAGTTTCATTATTTCAAATCTCTTACTTATATCAGTTGTGATTAATATGTACATTAAATATTGCGAGTGAAATTACAATCAGAACATTAGATGAGTCACTTGTGTATCTATAAATACTCTTTGTACATGTGTCATTAAAACCAAATGAATACATCAAATTTAAAGTGAGCTCACTGAATTTTTTTTTTTTTTTTTATTCTTCTCCACCAAAACTCTTTTACTTCCTTAAAACTATGCCTCTGTCTCGGCACTAAATTTTCTTTCTGAATAAACCTTTGAAAGTTGAAAAGGTTGATGGTTGACGTTGATGTAAAAGAAATGGGGTTTAATTTATTGACAAAATATCAAGAAATAAAAAAAGATTAAATGGACACAAGAGTCAAATATTATCATTTTGTATACCCCAGTAGAGGATTTTAAAGAGTGATTTGTGGTACAGTAGTTTCTTTCTTCTGATTCAACATGAATTGTGAATTTAGTAGAGACATGTCTATCTATAGCATTTAAAATGTCAAATTTGTTTAACATATGTGATTTTTGTGGGGGAGAGCACCCAAATGGTTATTGTGTAGAAAATTCTAATGAAGAAGTCAATTATTTGGGTAACCAACCAAAAGGAGGTAACTTTAATTCCCGCAATTACAATATTAACAATTATATGCAGGGAAACCAAGGCTGGAGAAACAATGCTAATAGCAACCAAGGTTATGGGTGGAGGAATGAAGCTGGACCATCTAATAGGCCACCACCACAACAACAACAACATCAAACTGCTTATCCCTCTATGCACGAGAGAGCTAGCAAATTGGAGGATACTTTGACTCAATTCATGCAGGTGTCCATGAACAATCAGAAAAATAGAGAGGCTTCTATTAAAAATTTAGAAGTTCAGGTTGGACAACTTGCTAAACAGCTAGCTGACATGTTTGGAGGCCCATTCTTAGCAAACACAAAGACAAATCCCAAGGAGCACTGTCAATCCATAACAACAAGAAGTGGGAAGGTGGTAGGTAGTGATGTTGGGGTGAGTGAAAAAAATGAGAGAGTGGAAGAAGAAGAAAATGATCAGTTGAGGGAGGTTGAGAAAAAGAATGAGAAGGAAGATGAAGAAAACAATAAAGATGAGAATGTAAATAAAAAGGAAGAGAGTGAAAAAGAAAGTGAAAAAGAAAAAGAACAAGAAAAAAATAGAGTAGAGAAAGGAAAGAATAAGAAGAAGGGCAAGGAGGTAATTTCTACGGTTCTTATCAAAGACTTACCTTACCCTCATGCTCCATCTAAGAAAGAGAAAGAAAAACAATTTGCAAGGTTTCTGGACATCATCAAGAAGCTCCAGATAAATATTCCCTTCACTGAAGCCATAGAACAAATGCCTACTTATGTTCGGTTCATGAAGGATCTCTTGACTAAGAAGAGAAGAATTCTTGAAGAAGAAACTGTGGAGCTTGAGGCTGGGTGTAGTGCCATCATACAAAAATCTTTGCCTCAAAAATCCAGAGATCCGGGTAGTTTTACTCTCCCCGTGTCTATTGGAAATCTTTCAGTGGGTAAAGCACTATTAGATCTTGGAGCCAGTATCAATTTAATGCCATTATCTATGCTGAAGAAGATTGGAGATGTGGAGGTACGACCCACAAGGATGACCTTGCAATTGGCAGATAGATCAGTGAAGTTTCCACATGGTATAGTAGAAGATATGATTGTGAAAGTGGACAAGTTTATGTTTCCAGTGGATTTTGTAGTCATGGATATGGAAGAAGATGTAAAAGTTCCTTTGATATTGGGCAGACCCTTTATGAAAACAGCTAGAGTTATCATTGACATGGATGATGGAAAGCTGAAGGTTAGGGTCCAAGATGAGGAAGTGAGTTTCAACGTATTTGAAGAAATGAAGTTTCCAAAAGCCAACAAAGATTGCTTTAGAATTGATGTATTAGATGATGTGTACTTGGAAACCCAAAATGATTTCAAGAGTTCATCGCCATTAGAGAAGGCTTTGCTTATCTCTAATGAAGAATTGGATAAGGTCATTGGTAAAGCTTGTCACTTGCTTGTGAATTTGGAGCACAAGGCATTTTGGGCCTTGAAAGCCTTGAATTTTGATATGAAGGCAGCTGGTAAAAAGAGAAAAATTCAATTGCATGAACTAGAAGAAATGAGGTTGCAAGCTTATGAGTCTTGTAGATCTTACAAGCACAAAGCTAAGCTATACCATGACAAGAAAATTCTGAATAGGAACTTCCAACCTGGCCAACAAGTATTGCTATTCAATTCTAAAATGAAACTATTTCCGGGCAAACTCAAGTCTAAGTGGTCAGGCCCATTTGTAATTAAATCTGTCAAACCATATGGAGCAATTGAACTTGAGGAACCTGCCACTAGAAGAACATGGACAGTTAATGGTCAAAGACTCAAACCTTACTTGGGTGGTGAAGTTGAGAGGCTCACTACCATTACACATCTTCAAGAGATTTGATCATGAAAAAATGTCAAGCTAAAGACATTAAATTAGCATGTTTAGCATGTTCACATAATTAGTTATAGATTGAGTTTTAGTTTTTGCATGTTTGTGTTTTGCTAAGTTCATATCTTGGTTACTGTTTGTTGTGTTATTTTGGCTTCATGAGTAAATGGTATGATGTTACTAATGTATGTTTGAATATGTGGTATCCATGTTTCATTGCATGTTTTATGTTATATAGTGTCATGTTAGTTGCACTTGTTAATTGTGTGATTGTTTTGTTAATTGGGAGTTCATTATAGTTGTTAAAAATATAGGAGTGTAGGAACAAGTTCTAGAGAGGTTGAGAGTTATAAAAGAGTGAAAAGGAAGCAAAAATTTCGTGGTTCAAGTCTCAGAGCTGCAGCCTCATTCACGGCTGCAGCGGATTTAGCAGAAAAGCTTGAAATTTTTTTTTCTGATACGAGGGCTCAAGCCTCAGGTTCCAAGGCTCAAGCCTTCACTCTCTGTCTCACGTCC